GAGACAGAGAGAGAGAGACAGTGGGTGAGAGAGAGAAAGAGAGAGGGAGGAGAGAGAGTTACATGGACAGTTCTATAGTAGCCCCATACGCGATTTGGAAAATAAATAAAATTTGTGGAAAAAACATCGAAGAAAGAGTGCGTGTAACAAAAACGTTTGGGCCGCGCTGACAATAAACTTCGATTTTAAGTAAGGGTTGCGAAATATCGTCCCAGAAGGTGTCTAGAGCTCGATATAACAATTTCCCGAAGCAGGAATCGATCTCGGGTCTTCTGTATGCAACTGCCAAGAGCCCAGACATAATTGTTGCGTCACATGCGAGTTTGTTAAAATGGCGTGGGAATAGCAGTATGACGACGGTAGTTTAGTTTGGTAAGGGTTTTACGGCGGTCGCAACTGCATAAGGCCATATGAACGCACGACAGTACTACCGTTTTTAGTTTCAGTAAGAGTTCTACGGCACTTGCAATACTATAGGGCATAAGGTCATATAAGTACCGAAGATTAGAAGTGTTACAAGAGAGAAACAAACACAAAAAGAGGAGGAGAGATCAGGACGATAGATGTTTGATAGAAAAGAAGGGAGCACCAACAACCCACTTACCTTTTTTAAAAACTCAAAACCCAAAGTAGTATAACCAAGGACCTTAGAACCGTGTCTGTCTATCTCCTTGCTTAATGTCGCACTTCAGGACACCCGCATTGATTCTGAGAACGAATTACTTTTCACCCCGGGTGCACACTCCTCAGCTGATGACATCGTTAACAGAATGTCACATGAATATTTATGAGGTAATTGGGGGGGGGGGAGAACTACAAGCGTTTATACATCAGAGAACACTGAGTATTTCTTAAACATATAAATGTTATATGTGAATAGTGCTGACAAAATGAGTTACTTCTCGGGTTTGAACACTATGGAAATAGATACATCAAGCTCATATGTGAAGCTTTTACAATACGTATGAAATAATAAAAGGCATGTTATACGTAAAGAATGTATGGCATCAATGGAAAATCTACAAATTTGAACCTAGTTTGAATTTTTGGCTAATATCTTCATTTGTGGATTGCGAGAAGTAACTCATTTTGTCAACACGTCACACATATCATTATGCATCAGAGCGTCTTTTGCATTGAAGTGATACCACTCACATTTCTATGGGTTTGATAGTCCTAATTAAGCAATTTTAGAAGTTTCTGTATATTTAGAAGTATTCCATAGAAAGTATTTTAAAAATAAATTGAGTTATGGTGTTTCGTTCTTTTCTTCCGTTTTCGCTTTTCAGATATCTTTCGATAGCATAATTTTTTATTTTCAAAATTTTGGCGTATTGGTTAGATGTTTTGCACCACACACACACACA